TTGATATGTTTCTCTAAATTGTCAGAGATAGGAAAATACACTTATGATGTAATGTGAATTCAGCAATGGTATTTTTTTTCTTAACTTTCTTTACCCTTTTCTCCTTGTTTAACAAGAATACATGTCACAGTTTCAAAATGACAGTGCTGACATCACATACACAGAATGGTTATGAAGAGTTCTTGGTTTCCCACAGTTCTCTTTGAACTTGGATGTAACTACAAAACATAGTCAGTTACTGTCTTAAAATTGCTCCAAATAACTGGTTATGTCATCAGTTAGATACAGGCATGTTGATTTGTTATAGGATATTGTCAGTTTTATATTTTAAATCTATAAACATAGAAAGGTAGGGGCTGGAGGGATGGCTCAGTGGTTAAGAGCACTGGCTGCTCTTCCAGAAGACCCAGATTCAATTCCTAGCACCCCCATGGCAGTTTACAGTTGTCTATAATTCCAGTTCCGGGGAACCAACACCCTCACACAGACACAACAACAATGCACGGGGGAAAAAGTAAATAAATCATTAAAAATGAAGAAGAAAGTTGTATTTGATGGAGTCTGATCTCTGTCCCTCTCCTTCTCCCTTTTCCCTCCATCCTTTCATGAAAACATTTTAAAGATTCATCATATTCTTCTTTTAAAAAAAGCTAAACTAGCCTGGCGCACACCTTTAATCCCAGCACTCGGGAGGCAGAGCCAGGTAGATCTCTGTGAGTTCAAGGCCAGCCTGGTCTACAGAGTGAGATCTAGGACAGGCTCCAAAACTACACAGAGAAACCCTGTCTGGGGGGGGGGGGGGAGCTAAACCAACAGTAAGATTTTAAATATATGTTTTATTTGTCTTTTTTATGTTTGTTTCTTTGTTTGTTTTTCAAGACAGAGTTTCTCTGTATAACAGCTCTGGGTGTCCTGGAATTTGCTTTGTAGACCAGGCCGGCCTCAAACTCACAGAGATCTGCCTGCCTTCTCCTTTTTTAATAAATATTGTACATTTTATTCCTCGCATGTTAATTTTTTTTTTTTTTTTCAGAGACAGGGTTTCTCTGTGTAGCTTTGCGCCTTTCCTGGAACTCACTATGTAGCCCAGGCTGGCCTCAAACTCATGGAGATCCACCTGGCTCTGCCTCCCGAGCGCTGGGATTATAGGCGTGTGCCACCACTGCCCGGCGCATGTTAATTTTTTTATGTGGCACACAGAGAGAGACAAAGAATAAATGTGCAAGTATGTATGGAGGCCACAGGAGGCTGTTAGATGTCCTTCTTTGTCACTCTCCACTTGATTCTCATGAGTAAGGGTCTCACTGTCCCTGGAGCTCAGCTGGCAGCCAGCAAATCATATTGCTCTCCTGTGTCTGCCCTGACACCCCCATAAATGCCCAACCTTTCAAGTGGGTGTTGGAGACAGGAATCCAACTGCTCATACTTCTTTACATATTCTTACCTTCTGGTCTATCACCCCAGTCCCTCCTTGCCTTTTGTTGTTGTTGTTTTGCTTTTTTATAAACCTTTCAACAAATAATACCATCCTTAGAGACCAAGTGTTTCACCCAAAAGCCTCTGTTACCAATCCCACTCAACAAAGTGTTGGAAAACCAGTGGAACTTGCTGGGATGGATTTCTAGGTTATTCCTGCTGCATAATAGCAGAGACAAAAGCCAGGCTGAGAGGAATGTAGAATAAAGGAATGGAAATAGTTCTTCCACAAGTCACAAGGACTGGTCAAATGAGATTAATAGATTCAGATACACCTTTCTTCCTGTCATTTATACCTCTGGGAGAGGGAAAATCAATTTTCTCCAATAGAGTAACATTGGATATATCAACCACTTGAGGGCAGGCCTCATGTTCAGGAGTAGTTGACCAATATATAATAGACTCACAGTTTGTGTGTGTGTGTGTGTGTGTGTGTGTGTGTGTGTGTGTGTGTGTGTGTGTGTGCTTTTATTACAGTTTGGTGTTTTGTTTTTTAAAAAAATAATAATAGGCCGGGCGGGGTGGTGGCGCACGCCTTTAATCCCAGCACTCGGGAGGCAGAGCCAGGCGGATCTCTGTGAGTTCGAGGCCAGCCTGGGCTACCAAGTGAGTTCCAGGACAGGCACAAAGCTACACAGAGAAACCCTGTCTCGAAAAACCAAAAAAAAAAAAAAAAAAAGAAAAAAAATAATAATCTTGCAACCCTACCTTAGTTTCAAAAAGTTATTTTGACCACTCATGACTACCTTGTTGTGACTACCTGCTGTTATAACTACCTTGTTATGCCCACCTTGCAACCATGTCTTTGTTTCAGGAAGTTGTTAGGAGTAGCTTGTTATGCTTATGCTCTGCTCCTGTAACCCTGACTATATGGTAGAATATTATTTTAAGGTATGTTACTTTTGTTTATGCTCTGGAACATTTGTTTAATGATGCAAAGACCTATTACATTTGTTTGATTGAATAAAACTAGCTGACAGGAAGTGGTAGGGAGGAACCAGGTGGAGAAGGGCTTTGAAGTGAGAGCTGGGAGAAGGATGCCTGACTTTTGGGGAGATGTCAGCAAGGAGAAATTAGCTACTTGCTATTCAGCTTCTCTGAGCGAGCAGAATTCCACCTCAGCCTCTGAATCTTCAGTTTTTTAGATGGACAGAGATTTAGATAAATTCGCTTATAGCTTTGAAAGAACCAGTGCCTGAGGGACTAGAATCCCTTCAGGCTATGGCCCTCGCTGCCGAATTGCTGCTGGTAGAGGCAGAGTTGCTGTTGCTGATTAGGACAGCCATTGTTTTTTCATTTATTTATTTATTTATTTATTATCAGCTTGATACAGTATAAATTCTTATCCAAATAGTGACATGTTTCACTGAGGCTTGACCAGTAATTGTGTAAAACCAAAACTTATTATAAGCCACAGTCATCCTAGGGTCCCCCCTGCTATATAGCCTCCCTGGTTCTGTGGGTTGCAGTCTGATTGTTCTTTGCTTTATATCTAGAATCCACTTATGAGTGAGTACATACCATGTTTGTCCTTCTGGGTTTGGGTTACCTCACTCAGGATGATATTTTGAAGTTCCATCCATTTGCCTGCAAATTTCATGATGTCATTGTTTTTTACTGCTGAGTAGTACTCCATTGTGTATATGTACCACATTTTCTTAATCCATTCTTCAGTTGATGGGCATCTAGGTTATTTCCAGGTTCTGGCTATTACAAATAGTGCTGCTATGAACATAGTTGAGCATGTATCTTTGTGATATGATTGAGCATTCCTTGGGTATATGCCCAAGAGTGGTATGGCTGGGTCTGGAGGTAGATCGATTCCCAATTTTCTGAGAAACCACCATACTGATTTCCACAGTGGTTGTACAAGTTTGCACTCCCACCAACAGTGGAGGAGTGTTCCCTTTGCTCCGCATCCTCTCCAACATTGACTGTCATTAGTGTTTTTGATCATAGCCATTCTGACAGGTGTAAGGTGGTATCTCAGAGTCGTTTTGATTTGCATATCTCTGATGACCAAGGATGTTGAACATTTCTTTAAATGTCTTTCAGCCATTTGTGATTCTTCTTTTGAGAATTCTCTGTTTAGCTCTTTAGCCCATTTTTCAATTGGATTGTTCAGTATTTTGATGTCTAGTTTCTTGGGGAGATCAGTCCTCTGTCAGATGTGGGGTTGGTGAAGATCTTTTTCCACTCTGTAGGCTGTCTTTTTGTCTTATTGACCGTGTCTTTTGCCCTACAAAAGCTTCTCAGTTTTAAGAGGTTCCATTTATTAATTGTTGTGCTCAGTGTCTGTGCTGTTGGTATTATATTTAGGAAGTGATCTCCTGTGCCAATGCATTCAAGAGTACTTCCTACTTTCTCTTCTATTAAGTTTAGTGTAACTGGATTTATGTTGAGGTCTTTGATCCACTTGGACTTGAGTTTTGTGCATGGTGACAGATATGGATCTATTTGTAATCTTTTACTTATTGACATCCAGTTATGACAGCACCATTTATTGAAGATATTTTCTTTTTTCTTGGTTTTTTTTTTTTTTTTTTTTTTTGGTTTTTCGAGACAGGGTTTCTCTGTGTAGCTTTGCGCCTTTCCTGGAACTCGCTTTGGAGACCAGGCTGGCCTCGAACTCACAGAGATCCGCCTGGCTCTGCCTCCCGAGTGCTGGGATTAAAGGCGTGCGCCACCACCGCCCGGCTCTTTTTTCTATTGTATAGTTTTGGCTTCTTTGTCAAAAATCAGGTGTTCATATGCGCCTGGATTAATGTCAGGATCTTCAGTTCGATTCCATTGGTCTGTATGTCGATTTTTATGCCAGTACCAAGCTGTTCTTGTTACTATAGCTCTATAGTAGAGCTTGAGGTCAGAGATGGTGATGCCTCCAGAGGTTTCTTTATTATATGGGATTCTTTTAACTATCCTGGGTCTTTTGTTTTTTCCATATGAAGTTGAGTATTTTTCTTTCCAAGTCTGTGAAAAATTGTGTTGGGATTTTGATGGGGATTGCATTGAATCTGTAGATTGTCAACCTTTTTCATACAGCAAGTTGATGGCAACTTAAATGTTTCCTAATTTTTTTGTTTTAAAAGAGTGAGTATATATTTTCAGTTACTTTTCAAGTTTATTTTTGAATTAGATTTTCTAGAAGTGAGATTGCTTGATCCAAAGGTAAAATAATATCATTTTATTAGATGCTTTCAAATTTCTGTTTACAGTTTGTGTTTTCACATTCCTACCAGCAATGTCTTGAGGTTTGCCAACAAAGTATAATATGAGGTGGTTTTTTTATAACTTTTTGCCCATCTGTTGGAAAACATTGTATCTCTGTGCTTTTTTACTTTTCTTTCTTTCTTTCTTCCTTTCTTCCTTCCTTCCTTCCTTCCTTCCTTCCTTCCTTTCTTTCTTTCTTTCTTTCTTTCTTTCTTTCTTTCTTTCTTTCTTTCTAATAAATAAGACAAGTGAGCTATTAGTTTTTGATTTTCTGGATTTTATAATGATTCTGCTTTTCTATTTATGTTTTTCAGAGTCAGTACAGATTTGTCTGTGAAGCTATTTTGAAAGTATATGAAGAAGGCTTTGTTAAACCCTTAACAACATCAAATAAATAAGAAAACAAAACAGTTGGGATAAGTATTGGGAAACTGATTTTTGTTACATTCATTGTGCCATAATACTGCTTGCAGGAAATGGCATCTCACACAAAAAAGTGAAGAACTCAAACAAACTTTGAAAACTTCAGCACTATTGCACTTTATGTTTTAAAAAGTCACTCAAAACCTATAATTCACTATTTTGACTATTTTGTGCTTTGCTCTGAACAAATAGTGGAAACTGAATATGTTCAGGGTAACTTATGGAATTTCGAGGTGGTGCCATGCGTCCCCTCTGGTAGAATTGCCCCAGACAAGGCTCAGAATTCTCATCTCTGTTACACACCTGCACCTTGAAAGCAAAAAGGCATAAACATCAGGAATCTGCTCTGGTCTTTCCAGTGGTTCATGTACTTATTCTTCTGATTACCGGATTTTAGTTTTCAACCGTTAGCAATACCATTCTCAACATTAGCCAGTACACTGCCTGTGGATGCAGCACACCTTCCTGACATCCCAGTAGGGACCTGCTGTTGAGAAGAAAAGGGGAACTGGCTGTTCCCAGGAAATGCTGCACATGTCCATTACCAGCATCTTAGAAAATAATATCTATGAATCTATGGATTTTCTTGGATTTAATAATGTAACTTATATTTATCATAAGGTTGGCTTATTCCAAATCATGTGATTTCACATTCTTGATGTAAAGGAATGCATGTATCGTGTCTTAACCCCTTAAGTGCCTTGAGATTTCTTTGTCTAATGAAAAGGCACTCATTTGACCCCATAGGAGGTATGTATACTGTACATTCTCATAGTTTGATGAATTTTTAATAAGTTCACAGTGTTAAAAAACAGCTTCTTGCCGGGCGGTGGTGGCACACGCCTTTAATCCCAGCACTCGGGAGGCAGAGCCAGGCGGATCTCTGTGAGTTCGAGGCCAGCCTGGGCTACCAAGTGAGTTCCAGGAAAGGCGCAAAGCTACACAGAGAAACCCTGTCTCGAAAAACCAAAAAAAAAAAAAAAAAAAAAAAAAAAAAAAAAAAAAAAAAAACAGCTTCTTATTTTGAGAGTTATACAAAGAAGGGTAAGGAAATTCTGTTCTTACTCAGTGCTTGCTTGTACTTTGCCACAAAAGCCAGGATATCTGTGTTCTGCTGAGAGTGCATTCTGCTGCTATGGAATTGTTCACAACCTGTACATTCCTTTACTGAGGAACAGGGGTTAAAGTTCAGCAGCCTACTGAAAAAGAAGGGTTATTCTTCAAATTGCATATTTACTTTATTCCCTAACTTAAAAAGTGATGTAACATGTACATTAGAGATCAACATATTAATACTCTAAGCTCCAGTTACAAAGTTCAGTGGTTGGGTTTCCTCCTGTCTGTAGCTGAAGTGTTGCCCTCCAGCACTCATTCCCGTTCATATCAGGCTGCTCTTCACACTGCTCTTTCTTTTCAGTTTTGTTTTTTGTTGGTTTTCTGCTTTGGTTTAGTTTTTGTTTTTTGTTTTTTGGGTTTTTTTCAAGACAGGGTTTCTCTGTGTAGCCCTGGCTGTCCTAGAACTCACTCTGTAGACCAGGCTGGCCTTGAACTTACAGAGATCTGCCTACCTCTGCCTACTGAGTGTTGGGATTAAAGGTATGTGCTGCCACCACCTAGCCACAATGGTCTTTTCATTGGAATTCTTCAGACAAGGAATTAAATAGTATTGACTTCTTCTAAATGTGACCCCCAAAATAGTAAAATGCAGGTTTTCTTGTCATTTTTGTATACAGTTATATTATCTAGTTCATATATGCCTAGAAAATTTTAAGCATGTGTAGTGAGGCTTTTGATTGTCCATTTTGACTGAAGATTCAACTCCCATTACAGATGTGTGTATTTTCCTTGTTGGCTTCATTCGTTTTTAAATCTATGGAGATAGAGCTTCAAAATTGCCCAATTTTATGTGAGAATTTGCTCACCTACTCAAATGTTGTTTTATATGGATATAGTTAAAATAGGCACATTTGCTAGTGGTTACAGAGTATTTCTGTCGTCTTAATAAAACATAGGTTCCAATGGTAAATAGTTTGGACTGCTATTTAGTTGGGGGAGGGGTGCCATACATTTAAAAATGTTTAATAAATTCTAAATTATCCATTCACATATTCAGAATCCATAATAGTAAAATTCAGAAGGTAAGTTCCTAAACATTAATAGCCAGGGTACCAAATAAATTGTCTTTTACAAATATTTTTTGTCTTATTTTTTTAAAGAAAGACATAAACATAATCTTTATGTCAAATGGAAGTTCTCCTATTCTGGTTTCATATGCAAGACAATATGAACTAGTTCATGAACGGTAGCTTCCCTCAAACATTCCATTGTCTACCAGAGGCAAATGTAATAGAGGCTATCATTACAAGTTTAAAAGGGAAATGAAGTTGGAGATCTGTATATTGTAGAGCTACTTTATTTCATGTACAGATTTTAGTCTCAATTTGAAGTGTCTGTCCTTGCCATATGGATAGAATGTGACAACCAGAGACAGGAAGAGAAAGGCTGTGTGGAGGCTAAAGGCAGTGTCATGGTTCACTGGTTCTTTCATCTGCAGCTTTGTTCACACCTCTGTCGTTAACACTGGTGTCAGCAGTGAGCATTACTGCCTTTAAATTATTGACAAGTGGAGAATTCCACTTCAACTTCTCCTCTGAGAACCGCCCCCTGTCAGCATTTTAGTGTAAAAACAGCCCTTAGACCATTTGTTAGGACCTTAAGCTACAATTACCTTTAAAAATTGTTAATGTGGATATGCTAACTAAACTTTCCTAGTTTTCTAACATATAACACTGTCCTTTACACCTAAGCATTTAATCAGTTTCTTAATATAAATAAATTTCTAGAAATAATGGCAGTTTTCATACCAAGTACTGCTAGACTTCATACATACTGATTTAATATTGTGTTACAAAAAACAAATTTCTTGAATCAAACTACTTTTCCATTTCACTAGCCACCCTGACAAACTCAAGAAAGAATGCATTTATTCTGACAAGTGAAAAATCAATATTGGTGAATCAGGGGCTTTTGTACATGCTAAAAAGTAAATGTGAAAATTTTCACTCTCTGAGTTCAGATGATTTTTCTGTGTTTCAAGTGTTTTATTGAGCATCTGGTTTTCATCAACATCGCCTAGATACTCTAGTATCTAGGAGTATTTGGAGTAGACTTTCATTCACAAAAGGAATAGATTGTGCTTGTAATCCTCCATCCATTCAAAAGTCAGCCCAAGAAAAACTTTTGTGTTACCTACTGAGATGAATAACTGGGAAAGGACAATGATTGATCATTTTGACTGAAGAATAAAAGTAACATGTATGAAAATTGCACTCAGAGGCAGAGGCAGGTGGATCTCTGTGAGTTCAAGGCCAGCCTGGTCTACAGCCAAGGCTCCATTGAAAAACCCTGTCTCAAAAAACCAGAAAAAAAAAGGACTGTTATTTGAAGGTTTTGGGTACTACTGTACATGCCTTCACAGAAAAACGTCAGTACATTGGTTTGCATGTATGCTTCATAAAGACGTGTGCACAGACGGAATGGACTTTTAACCATGGGGTTGTTTATATCTCTTGGCAGGTCTGACCAAGTCTAAGCAAAAAAATCTCTTGTCTCACTAGAAGTGATACTACAACTTGATATCTATAAGAAGGTGAAAGATGTGTGTCCAATCTCTATTTCCTTACGATAGGAAGGACCAGAGGCCCAGCAATTAATTTAACAGTATCTGGTCATCTTCCAGTTTTCTAATTCTCAATCTAGTGTCGCTGTATTAGGCTAGAACTTGAGTAAATTGTGAATATGATAAAGGCTTGTAAATTTTCTCTCTTTCTACCTAGGAGCTTTGACCCCTTAGAGGTTGAAAGTAGGCTTCAAAAGTGATGCTGGTTAGGACGTGGGCCAAGTTTGCTCGTTGTGCTTCCCTAACAGATGGACATTAGCTGTTGTGAAGTAGTTAGCCTGATACACATACAGTAAGCAAACTGAACTGCAGGTAGGAAGGCAGCGCTAAAGCACTTAAAACATAGAACTGAGATTCAGAACTTAGATCTACTTACAAAATAATTTATATTCATAATGTGAACATGTGATAAAATTGAAGTATGGCCTGGTTATCAGGAAAAGAGAAGGAAACACTAATTTATAGCAATATGCTATCTAATGTCTGTTTTGAATAGTCTGATGGTAAAGTTGCCAAAGTAGTTTTGAATTCATGTAAGTTGTTTATACCACAAATGTGGGATATGTTTACAGGCTCTTTGTAGTACTTATTTTGTAGTTCTGATGAATTTGTATTTAAGTCATTTATAATAAATATATGATGATAAATATTTGATGGAATAAACATCTCAGTAATACTGCAAATCATACCTAAATGATCCCACAGTCTGCTTTCATGCAAGGTGCTGCATCCACAAAGCAAGTACTCTGTGTCGACATTGCTCACGTCTCACATGTGCACCAGCCATCCACCTGCCATTCCTAGAACAGTCATTGTGGTGCTCCCTCCAAGTCAGACAGCTGCGTTAGTATACTTCAGTGATTGAGTTTATCCGATGTGAAATGACCGATCTGTTGACAGACACTCATTTGTGTCTCAGTGTGATCACAAATTGTAGCGACTTTTATGAAATTCTTAGAGAATTATTATAGACATAAAAAGAAATTTACAGAATCTTAAAACTTTTTTGAGGGCTAATTGCTAAGAGATAATTTCATCAATTTTAAGAATATAGGAAATCAATCCCAAAATTCTATGTTTCAGGTTCTGCTTTTTAACCACAATTCTTATTTTTCGTGGATTTTGCTTTCTCTCAGTAGCAGTTATTATAATAAGCTTCTCTATGTTGACAGAAACAACAACCCATGTATTCCAGCCCATATTTTCATGCCCTAGGTGAATTTGTTTGGAGTAGATACCATAAGGTTACTTTCTGTTCCATATATAAATGTGTTGCTGCTTATTTTACATTTTTTTTGCTACGGTGTACTGTTGGTTTCTAAAGACATTGTTTATTTTTTAGTCCTCCAAAGCTAAATGGGCAGCCATTAGTCACAGCTGCTTGACGGCAGTCCCTCTGTGTTAGCTAGGTATGGTTCAGTACATAAACAAGGAAGCCAGTAGTGCTTTTAATTTGCAGACGGTTGTTAGCAACACTGCAAGTTAAAAACTACACTGTAAGGAAGAGTTCAAACGTTTAGCTTTCTGGAGCCTTGTAAAATTTCCAGTCTAAGAATGAAAAAGAAAACCTTGTTAAGGTCATAAAAGTTTCAATTAAACATTGTAGAGTTTTCCTATTATTATGTAAATGATATACAGAAAATATTTTTCTATGAACAGAAGGTTAAAACTGTTAACTTTAATTTCATTGTTTAAAAGGGATAAAACGATATTTGTATGTCTTTCATGCTGTAAAGAAAATGAATGTATCTTTCAAATGTTAGCGTTATTACTTGATTCTAAGTATATGTGTTTAAAAAGAGAGAGAAATCTGCAAAAGAGTGAAAAGTGTTACAAGTCATTGTGTAAAATGCAATGTTGGAAGAAATGGAGTTTCGTTATAAATGATCACTGTCAAAGCTTATTTCATGTATAGTGTACATTCATTTCACATTGCTTTGTTTTGACTTTGAGAGTTTTCCTTAAAAATTGTATGTACTATTTTGAGTGTAAAATATTTTAATTGTATACTTGTGGGGTGTGGAAGAATGTTTGTGTGTTAGGCTAAGTGTGCTGCTGCATGTGTCTACCATGGAGGAAAGTTCCCAAGCTTTGTCATTGTCGCAGCCACCAGTGGGGGCATCATTGTAAGAATGTGAAGCCAGAAACCCATACCTAAGAGCCACTGCAGTAATTATGTGCAGAGGCCTCTGACCCCGCTAATGAGTGTCCCTTTTTATCTTCAGTGATGTGGGTAGTAAGACCACTGGGCCCAACACTCGTGACTTAGAACAGTGGTAGCTTGTGTGCTTACGAGTTTATTCAGCTAAGTGAGAACTCTTCACTTTAAACCAGTGCTTGTAGGCATGATTAATTAATCTAGTAATTGCCAATTATTAAACTTTATGAAATTGGGAAGTCATTGTTTTAATGCTTTCTAAACCTACATACTAATTTTCACTCATCGTGATGTACCCTGAACAACCAAAAGGTAATCCAAGGTTAGTGTCAGATTTCCTCAACTCCAGTGGTTACAAAGTTTGGCACTATTAACTCTGGTAACTTAGAAGTCACACTGTTAAGTAAAGTCGCTGCCAGCGATCATCAAGGAAGTAGCTTTCTTCAACCTTCGGCCCAGATAGTTGCTGCTTTGTGGTTTCCCTAGATCTGTATGTCATTACATCCACTGTTGTCATAATTGGGCCTGTTTCACCTTTGTTTTAATAGTTGTTTTCTGCTCGGAAGTTATAGTATTCCAGTTATTTGCCATCCTGGGCAAGGATGTTTCAACCCATTCTGTGATCTCTGGATTCATCTTTCCCACTCTTTCAGTGAATTCGCAAGACACCTCATTCCTGAATCCTTAGAGTAGGTCAAACTTCAGTGCTACAATTGATTTCAAATAGCACTTTATTTCATGCTTACTACTGACTTAATTTATACATTAAAATATCTATCCTAGGAGTTTTGTAAATACAGAAAAAATTGATTAGTATTAGCGTTTATTAGATTGGCCCCAAGTTTAAATGCTTTATAATGATCTCCTGATAGCTTCTTTGATATTTAAGAGGTAACCTATGTGATTTTAGCTCTGCGATTTTTCTGTAATTTGTGTAATACAATAGAGGCTGCCCAGCTGACTGTGTTGCTGGACTCAGTTCTCTCAGCTAGCTTCAGCCGAGCTTGGTTTAATAAAATTGTTTCTGCTCTGCATTTTGTGGACATCACATGAATTCTTGGAAATCCGTTTGTTTTCAGTGTAGTACCTAGATATTAAGTGGATACTGCACCACAAGTACATAGTTTATATAGAAGACAAAGGGCAGAATTTGTGATGCTACAACAGTTTATATTAAGCTGTTTTCATATTCTGCCAGTACAGTAAGTATATCTGCTGTAAAAAATAAAAGTTGTCTACTCCAGTGTTCTCCAGCATCAGAACATACCCCTTATGAACTATGTTGTAGTCTTTTCAAATAAGGAAAGCTAGTCCTTGTTTTCTACAGTGTAGGTTTAACTTTAGGACTGATAGTGTATACTTATCAGTACTATTTTCAAACAGTAGTTTTAAAATTATTTCTGTGTAGAGGGTATTTTAATTTGGGAACTTTCTTTTCTTGTAATAGGTGCTATATGTAAATATGGAGTGAGAAGTTTGCTTGGTTAAAAGTCTACTTTATTTCCTTACTAAAATATTTTTCATTTCTGTTTCCATTTCATGTTTTGTACTGAACTAATAGCAGAATGGAATTAGTCCCTTAATGTTGTCGACTACCTTTTCTCCCAGTTGTACAAAACGATCTCCGTATGGCTTGGTCTCGTGATGAAGAGCAGAGAAGCTAAGAATGAGAACTGCAAGTGCACAAACTGGAGTTTGGCCAACACTGGGTTATCTGAGATGGTCACTGCAGCTCACTGTGTGCTTGTCCTCATTCAAGGAAAGTTAGAATTCCTGACATCCGTGGTTTTCAACAATCTACACATACCAACAGTGAGCAGGATAAAAATGCTGATTTGCATCGAAAGTGTTTTAGTCCTAACATCAATTTATGTTATGTGAAATGCTATTACACATACTTTGTTGGGCATATTTCATTTTGATTAAGTAGTTGTTCAGATACAAGTTTGAAAAGGGAAAAAAAACCTCTAGTTGTTAATGTTCAATTGAAAAATAAAGATGTGCTTTAGTAATCTAATGACTTCATTTCAAAATTATTTTATGGGCATTTATTTTTGGACTCTGCTAACAGTGATTTTAGTCATTGATGAGTGATCAGTTAGAAGGGATGGTTGAATGCTAAACATGATGTTTATTTCTAGAATTAGTAGCACACATAGTAGCCCTTCTTGAGGGAATGGGGAGAACAGAGATTTAAAGAGAATTTAGAAAATTAAAGAATGTGTGTGCGTGTGTGTATTTGGTATATATGTATGGTGTATGGGCATGTACATATGCTGGAACAGCCACATATGCTCATACTTGTGGAAACTAGGGGAGGGCATCTGGTGTTGTCCTCTATCAATCTCCACCCTATTCTTTTGAGGCAAGATCTCTCACTTAATGTTTTTCAGCTAGACTGGCTGGCCAACAAGCCTGTGATCCCTGTCTCTAGCAACCACAGCATGGGGTTGCAGGCACACATACCTGTGCTCAGTTGTTTACATGGGTTCTGGGAATCCTAACTCAGGTCCCCCTACTTGAGCAGTAAGCATTCTTTTTTGTTTTGTTTTTCGAGACAAGGTTTCTCATGTAACTGTCATGGCTGTCCTGTAACTCACTTTTGTAGACCAGTCTGGCCTGGAACTCACAAAGATTTGCCTCCTGAGTACTGGGATTAAAGGCATGACCCACCACTGCCCAACTGATCAGTAAGCATTCTTACCCATCAAACTATCTCCCTACCTAGAGAATGAAAGTGTCCCCAGTCTCCTTCATTGTGGCCACACCTCCTCCAGTAATCCCAGAGCAAGACCTTGTCACTCAAAAGACTTCTCTTGAAGTCAGCCTGGATCACATCTTCCCAGATATGCCATTTTGCATCTAAAAGAGAAAGGGAAGTCAGGCATGCTATCTTGATAGCCTGTTAGAGGAAGGGAAGAAGTAAAGACTACTAGCTCCACTCTGGTTTTGGTTTTGTTTTGTTTGAGGGGGGTGTTTGTTTTATGTAGCCTTGGCTTGCCTCGAACTCAATAAAGTGCCTGCTTCTGCCTTTCAAGTGCTGGTATCAAAGGCTGCACCACCACATCCCTGCAACCACTAACTCTGTTTTAGGTGCTTACATGACAAAGGACTCATTACGACAAAGGCAGCTACAATGACACAGTGCCTGTAGTCCCAGCTACTTTTAAGGCTGAAGTAGGAGGATCACTTTAGGACAGGAGTTCAGGGTCAGCCTGTGCAACACAAAGAGACCCTATGTCAAAAATAAGAGAAAAAAGAAATTATGAGAAACATTTTGAGGAAGATCCAAGATGATTTATGACAGTCTCATGCCAACTCACCATCTCTGAGAAAAGCCCCCTCAAACCTGGTGAAAAGCACAGACTTGTGATCCTAGTACTCAAGAGACTGAGGCAGGTGGATTCAAATTGTGGGCTCTGTAAGTCAAAGTCAACCTGTAAGCCCTACCTGCCCAAGGTTCAGGTAATTTCCTGGAATATTGGGAGTTGTAGTTCTTAGAAAAATAACAAAACGACATGGGAAATAAATGGCCTTATGGTTTTGTCCTTAAAAAGCCCCTATAACACTTGTGTTGTGGCCACTTGCTGGGAACCAAGTGGAACTGCCTAGAGTCCATTTTTCTGGCCAGTACTTAATTAAAATTTGCTTCAATTTTGGCTCAAAATTGTGGAACTGGTTTTTCTTGTGCGAATTTCAGATTAACAGCAACTCTGAGCTATATGAAGCCTTGGGGCAGTGGAAGCCCTATCACACCAATGATGACCTCTTCATTATATTTTCTTCTAGGGAAAAATGTATATTTGTGTATGCATATATATTTATGCTTGCAGGATTGTATGATACAGCCTGCAAATTTCCTTTTTTCGTTGTGGGATATTTGCATGTTAGCATATTTACATCTGTCTCATTCTTTAAAACATTATTTGTGGGGTGAGGGTCATGAATGACCATGTATGTACTTGCACAGCACTCATGTAGCGGTCAGAAGAAAACTTGCAGGTGTCAGTTCTCTCCACCATGTGAGACCTGAGATCAAGCTCAGGTCATCATGCTTGGTGGTAAGTGTCTTTTCTTACAGAGCCATCTCACCAGCCCTATTTCATTCTTTTTTTTTTTTGGTTTTTCGAGACAGGGTTTCTCTGTGTAGCTTTGCACCTTTCCTGGAACTCACTTGGTAGTCCAGGCTGGCCTCGAACTCACAGAGATCCGCCTGGCTCTGCCTCCCGAGTTCTGGGATTAAAGGCGTGCGCCACCACCGCCCGGCTCATTCTTTTTAATTACGTTTTACAATTACTACATTTGTATGTGTGTGCATCTACCAGGTGAGCTAGATCCCTGGCCTACTCCCCCTTTTGGAAACTAGTTTTGCTTTAAAAACCTGTACCGGGAATCAGAAATGACACTGGTTTCCTGGTATTGTCCCTAATCAGCCAGAGAACTTCAGTTTGTACTCTCTCCACCCCAAAACCCTGCTATGGGTAGAGCTATGTATAGTACTCAGCTGTTGCTCCATTGGCCCCAATGAGGTGCCACACAGGTGACTAGCAGTGTTCTGGCAACACCACTGGCACAGAGGTGTTCTGCCAGGCCTAACCAGGGTGGTGCAGGTGTGGTCAGTACCAAATCCCCAGAAACGGTATTTTCTGGATCCTCCCTCTACACTAATTTTCAGACAAGATCCCCAGAGACCCTCTGTCCACATCCTTTCCCTCCTCAGTGTCCCTCCTCCTGCTCTTGCTCCTTTGGTTTCAGTACCGCCCTTGAGCAGGTCCACACAGGCCTTTGGCCTTGCTGTTTCCGCTGCTCTTCCAGGTTGTCTACTGGGCTATCTCCTCACCTGCTTCGGTCTGAACTCAATGTCACTGTCTTAAGAGGCCTTCTTCCTTGCTGAATTGGTAGCCCTCATCCCCTGTCCCTGCTATTATTTTACTAACAACTGACCAACCATGTGTATTAAACCCAGGACTTCATGTCCTCTAATGGAGGTATATGCAGCCTTTCTCCTCCTCCTCTCTACTCCTCCTCTTCCTTCTCCTCCTCCCTCCTCCTCTTCCTTCTCCTCCCTCCTCCTCCTCTTCCTTCTCCTCTCCCTCCTCCTCTTCCCCCTCTTCCTCCTCCTCCTCTCCCTCCTCCTCTTCCTCCTCCCTCCTCCCTACTCCTCCTCTTCCTCCTCCTCTTCCTCCTCCTCCTCCCTACTCCTCCCTACTCCTCCTCCCTACTCCTCCTCTTCCTTCTCCTCCCTACTCCTCCTCCTCCCTACTCTTCCTCTTCCTCCTCCTCCCTACTCCTCCTCCTCCCTACTCCTCCTCTTCCTCCTCCTCCCTCCTCCCTACTCATCCTCCCTACTCCTCTTCCTCCTCCCTACTCCTCCTCTTCCTCCTCCTCCTCTCTACTCCTCTTCCTCCTCCTCCTCCCTACTCCTCCTCTTCCTCCTCCTCCTCTCTACTCCTCTTCCTCCTCCTCCTCCCTACTCCTCCTCCTCTTCCTCCCTACTCCCCTCCTCTTTCAGATGGTGTTAGGTAGGTTGGCCTCAAGTTTCTGGACTCAAGTGATCCTCCTGCCTCAGCCTTGAGAGTAGCAAGGACTACAGGTACACTCTACCACACAGGCTTGACCATGAAATAAACTTGTTTAATTATAACAGAACCCCCAAATGTAAACTAAGCTGGCCTTGATCTCACTACTGAGCCTCCCAAGGGACTGTAGGTCTTTGTCACCATGGTTGCCTTAAGGGACTTTTGTCTTCTTATCTGCCCTATCTCCAGAGCCTACAGCACAGTAGGCATTTTGATAAATTGTCTGAAGAATGAATGAATGGAATGTTGTCTTGCCACTCAGGCCCTCCCTGACCACAGTGCCTTAAGCATCAGTCTGTTATTTCCCTTTCCTAGCTCTGTTTTTCTCCAGGACACTTATCACCACTTGACACATATTTGTTTACTTACTCTCTCTCTCTCTCTCTCTCTCTCTCTCTCTCTCTCTCTCTCTCTCTCTCTCTCTCTGAGTAAGAGAGAAAAATAGATATACCAGACTACATTAAAAATAGAAACATCCGGGTTATTTTTGCTGTGCTATGGATTGGATCCATGGTCTTGTACTAGTCTTAACACCCTACCACTGCACTGTATCCCAAACTCAACGTTTGATTTTAAATTATATAATCAAGAAAGTGAAAATTCGCTGGACAGTGGTGGCACTTGCCTTTAATCCCAGCACTCCGGAGGCAGATCGCTGAGTTCAAGGTCAGCCTGGTCTACAGCACAACTTCCAGGATGGCCAGGGCTACACAGAGAAACCCTGTCTCCAAAAACAAAAACAAAAACAAAAAACAACACAGAGAAGAGAGAGAGAGAGAGAGAGAGAGAGAGAGAGAGAGAGAGAGAGAGAGAGAGAGAGAGAGAGAGAGAAAGAGAGAGAGAATGTCCTCAGAACCACCCCCTCTGCACATGAACTGTGGCAAACATGAAACCCCTCCCTACTCGCCCCACACATATACACACATAGACAAATAAATGTAACTTTTTCTTTTAAAACAGGGTTTCATTATGTAGTCCTAGCCGTCTTCGAACTCACTAAGTAGACCAGGCTGCCCTGGACCCCACCAGAGATCCTCCTGCCTCTTGCCTCCCAAATTCTGGGATTAAAGGTGTGCATCAGCATGCCAGGTTTACCCCCCTTTGTTGTTTTGTTTATTTTTTTTTTAAATTAATGAACAAATGAATCCGTGTAGCGGCCAGGTTTCCATACACCTAATAGTGCCCTCGGGATAAGACTAAATGTTGGACAAGCGCAACAGGTGCCTCTTAAACTGTAGCTTCTTGTTCCCGTCGGCCCCACCGACAGGCGTTGCCGGCTTAAATTCGGTCTCAGGAGGCTGATTTCCGGGGCGGCGCCATCGCCCCTTTAAGAGCCGAGCAGCCCGTCCTTCGGGGCGGGGCTTGGAGAGGGCTCTAAGGGGCGTGCCCGCGGGCAGGAGGGCGGGCGGGCGAGCGGGCGGGCGGGCGGCCGGGGTCC